TTCCTGCTCATTAATCAGTCCTGTTAAAATATCAAAACCCTTCTTCGCTTTTCTCTTCAGTAGCAAGTAAATTATTAACAGAAGGGTAAACTTCGTTCTTTCTATATTTCTCACCGTTGGTTATCATTTAACTTGCAGAAACTTAATTCTGAGATCTGATTGAGACTGTCATATGTAAGGTAGTGTATGAGGGAAAAGGAAACAATGGTATATGGATAGAATAACTCACCTATATTGCAATGTATGTGTTTCTAACACAGAAACCTGGTGACTTAAAAAAACAACCCTGCCTTATTCAGTATAAAATTCCACTATCCCCCAAGCTGTTCCCCTAGTTGTAAGACCAAAAATAATAAATGCAGCAACTGCTTTGCTGGAATTTCCTATTTAAAATAATGTGGTATATTCACATATTTAAATAGAACTTCTCAGCTGCAAAGTATTTAGTGTTTTGAATGAACTGCAGTGATACCTTCGAGATTCTTGCAGAACTGTGATACCTATCTTGGTGTAGTGTGGATGATTTAAATCCTTGCTGAAGTGAGGATTTAATTAAAATACATTTGTACAGCTTTTTAGCCCCAACCAGTCACTCTCTTATCACTGCCTTTTTATTTTTTAATAATTTTTCAAGATAACAGAGGTTTTGAAGGAGTCACTTATGAAAATAGGACATCGTGTTTGTGATACAAGGTCTGATCTTTATTTAACTCATTAGTCAAACTGCCGCTGGTTCTGTTGCCTAAGTAAATTTTTCAGGCTTGGGCCAATTGCTTAAGAGTTGCTTTATAGAAGGGCTATTTATGACTATTGATCAGTGAGGTTTTTTTAATCCTCTGAAACAGTTTTTTAAGGTATTTGTAGTGTTAATGTAATTGATTTTTTTTTTTAACAGCATTTGAAGAGGGGTGTGGGAGTGGCTTTAAGTTCATTTCCTGGTTTTCATATAAATTCTTGAGAGCTGTGTCATACTACTCTTTGTAAATGATTGACATTAAACTGACCTTTATAAAGGAACCAAGAAAATAAAACTTGTATTTAGGCCAATTTTTTGTCTTTGCTTTTCAATTTTAGAAAACATGTTGTTGCTCCAAAACAATACAGGTTAGTGTGCAGTAGAATTACAAGTTTTTTAGGCCAACTTATAATTCTAAACATACAGTACGATACTCCGTTTTTGTGTATTCCATTTTGAAACAAATCCTGTTCAGTGAGGGGGAAAAAAAAATTATCTGAACAAAATTTAAAACAAAATTGCAACAATAAAAGCAGATAGTAGATCTCAATTTTACACATGAGAGTTGTGATACTTTTTCTAGTGTTTTAATTTTAGCACTAAAGCAGAAATAGCGGATTCATTCCTTCAGACTGAAACCTTGCAGAAACAACAGTCAAATAAAAGATTGTGGAGAATAAGAGAAGTGACAGAAACTGGAGAGAGGTGTTCAAGGAAGTATTCTCAGCTGTTGTTCACTTACTTCTGGTATTTTCCATTGTGGGTTTTTTCTAGATATTTTTCCATTACTGAATACATCAAAACAGTCATTGCTTAAGAATTAAACTAACCCAATAAAGTTATAAACTTGGCTGCTTTCCTTTGGACTAAGGTGAACATTCAGATGAAGTCAGTAGGAAAACTGGAGTTGTTCAAGTAGGAAAGGCGATACCAGCTTAATTCTTTAAATTTCCAAATACTGAAAAGATACAACGTATATCTTCTTAAATGAGTGTCTAAAACATTTTTAAATTGTTTGTTTTTCTTTCTAGAAATAAAAATAGCCCGCCACCTCACCCAGTGCTGTCTTCCATATCAGTTCTTTTTTGCTATCATCTAGGAACCGCTGCAAAAGGCTCGTTTCTAATCACAATACTGAGAATACCAAGGATTGTTCTCTTGTACCTTTATAATATCCTAAACCAAAAGGTAGGTATATACTTCTGTTACACTATAAAAATAGTAGTTAAAAGGCGAGAGACATGAAAGAAACTGTGAAGAATATACTTCTTGCTTAAAAATGGATGATATGATGTGGAGTTTATATTTTATCCCATTTTCTTCATTAAGAAAGCTTTTTCCATGTGCCTCCTTTTTGTCTCTCAACTGAGATCTTTTTAAAAGCAGAAGACACCCATGTTAAAAACCACCTTTATTTAGTGTTTATGTATAAAGGTTTTTATGAAGGATAAAGGAAAAAAATTGGGAGAAGGCTCTATTCAAAATTTTTGCATCATAAATTTAAAAAAGCAAAGGTACGTAGGAACATTATTGTTGTATATAAAATATCTCATAGAAAAGATTTCCTCTGCCTTGTCATATGAGTTTATAGGAAAGAATGTATGAAATAAGAACTATTCCAGAGATTTGTGGAGGATCCAAACCACATCTTTTAAGAGATATAAAAAATATAGCTGGGCTGTTTTGATTGTTGCTTGCCTTCTTTCTATCTTTCATGCATCTCTGCATCTCTTATCTTCTGCTGGAAACATACCATTGCAGTTAGTTTAGTTCTGGCACTTCGGCAAGGAGAGAGGGCTGTCATGACTGCACAGCGCTGATTTTAGAGAAAGATTTAGGCAAAGTTTTTAAAAGTAGCTCTTTTCCCCTGGAGTGTAGCTTGGCCTTGGAGCATGTTATGTGTAGTTATGACAGGGTATTTACATTGACCATCCCCGGCATGTGTGTGGGGTATAGTTTGTGAATGCTTAAATGAAAGCCACCTTGCAATAAGACACTTGAAAGGTGTGTAAGTGTCTGGGTTTATGTCACTTTCATATGAAAGCCTGGGTTATAAAACTTGGTGAGTTGGGTCAGCTAAGAACTTTGTTTAGATATGGTAGGTGGGATGAGTTGTGCTAAAAAGAAAGAGAGTATTTTCTGCCTCTAGAGGAAGCAGAATAAGTGGACTTGAGGTACACAGTTTTGAATCTGAATAGCTGTAGAAGATTTAACTGGCAAAGAAAGATTATTTGTGCCTGTAGCAGTGTGCTACAAGCTCCTTCTGGTCCAGTTGCCAAACATTCAGCTGAGGATGTGACATGAGCCATAGCTGCAGCTGCTCCTTAAGAGGCTATGAAGTGCTTGGGCCTGCTCGTGTCCCCAGTCCACAGACGGATCCCCCCACAAGGTAACCTTGCTCCTTCCCATGGGAGAAAGGACGGGCTGTGGCCCCTTTCCATTGAGGCTCTTTCCGCAGAGGGCCAGAGTAGCGGTACTAAAGGATGGAGAAGTGATGCTGCATTCTTGTAGAGCTCACCCAGGCTTTGCCACCCTTGCAAAAAATGCTGCTGTTTACTGTGAACAGTAAAAAAAAAAAAGTCAGGGGTCTGCAAGCTTGCAGGTAAATTGACAGAATGTTTTCTACACAGCAGCCTTCAAGCAGAATGAGAGAGGAGATTGTGGTTGAAGTCCCTTGCTCTAGGTTTTTAATAAACAGTACTTACTGGGATTAATACCGTTTCAGTAAAATCATCTCTCCAGCAATACATGGCAAGATTAAAGTACTTCTCTGCTGTCCGGAGTTTGCATGTACAGTTGCTGTTTTAAAGGAATTATTCCTGGAATATTTCCAAGAACTTCTCTGGAAAAAAGTTGGCAGGTTTGTGGTTTCTGCACGAACAATGGTAGTTGTGGGGACCTGAGGTTTTCATATAGTGACTGGAAGACCTCTGCTTTCCAAAACAAAACAAAAACATTCTGACCTCTGGAAAAAGAAGGTTAAAAAGACTCAAGTATCACTGAACTGAATTTCCTTTTGCTGAGAAAAACAGCCAGTTAAATTTGGAAGGCTACCATGGCTACCAAGATGTCTTTTGCTTGTCTCGCTTGGTAAAATCTTTATATGACGAACCATTCTGAGCTCGTGATGGTTGGGGGGGAGTGGAACAAACGCTGAGCTTTTCTGCTCTGTTTTTATTATGAAATTAATGTAGATCAGTGGTCTGTGAGTGGTGTGGTCTAATACAGGCTTTTTCCTCCTGTACTGAAAAACGAATATATGCTCTGAGTCGATACACATACATGTGCACATAAGTCCTTCTGCCCATTCTTTTATTTCTGTTCATTAGGGTACCGGGCTTTTCAGAACTGTGAAGGTTTTTTGCTAAACAAAAAAGTTAAAAACCTGTCAGTGTACTCCCTGATTGCTGGAGAGTACCGTAAGGGTTACTGACTTGCCTGCCTGTTTTGTTCTCCGAGCAGCTGTTAGCTCACAAAGCTGCTTGCAGCACTTACTTTCTTTTCCCAGAGAAGAATCTTCCATCCACAGGAAAAAAGAAAATACGCTCAGCTTATCAGTCATTAATACTGAAGGGTCTGAATTAAAAACAGTTCCTATAATCCAAAAGGAAATAATCTGCTGCCTAAGTGAATGCTTTATTAGAAGAGTCAGTCACCTGTAAAGCAAGTTTTTCTAAAATGGCAGTTTTGTTTGAGTCTTAATTCTGTGTCCAGTAACCAAACATTTCATTTTATTGCAGGAGAATGCATGTGCGAAGTGCCTGTTCAAATGCTGTTTCTGCTGCTTTTGGTGCCAGGAAAGTTGCTTAAGATACTTTAACCAGGTACACTCTCTCATCCCTCTGTCACTCAACCATGTGCATACCTAGTCTAGAAACCGTGTGTGTATGCTAGCTCCAGTTAGCATGACTAAAGCAACATCCAGCGCATGCAAGCCAAAGTTTTCCTGTGGGCCACCTAAACTAAACAAAGTCTTCAAGCCTAGGTGGAACTTCTTGCAAGGGAACAGGGAATTGACAAGCATGCAAGGTGCGAGGGTTTAGAAGACGTGTTAATACAGCTTGAGATAGCCCTTTCAGAGGGCCACGTGCTATTTCTGAAGGTAAGAAGACTTCACATCTTGTTGAGTTGTGCCAGACAGACTGCTGAAGTACAGAGGGTCCAGGTGGAAGGAGGCAATGAAGAAGTAAGAAACCCACCTGGAGATGTGTCATTAAACTAGATACAGTATTTTCCACCTGAAAGCCCTGAATAAAGAAAAGAAACTTGAACTCCTGGCTGATTTCCATTATCAATATATCTGGGAATATGATCCATGATGAAAAAGCCAGATGATCTAATATTCTTTTTCTTTGAAAGACATCTTTGTTTGGTTAGCAGTTTTGTTTCAAAAGTGGTTTTATTGGAAATGGATGATTTCTGACATACAGCAGTTTTTCAGATACTTGACTCCTACTTTTTCCATGCCGATCCTTTTTGCCAAATGTTTTCCAGCTCTGTATACATCACTGTAAATAGTTAATTTTTCTCTTTGTCAGTCCCCTTTTGTTATCTCTGGGGACTGTGGTATTCTTAATGTGAAAGGGAATCAGATGTTCATGCTGATTCCTAACTCTCTGGCTGTTGCGTTTTTTGTTCTCTCGTTGCTGAGGGCAGTAGTGAAGTAAACAAGACAATGCTGATAAAGGCTCTGACTTCTCCTCTAAAGTAGGTGCATAAATTAAGCTTAATCTTGGACAACTACGAAGAGAAAGTTTTCACTTAGTTCAGCCCAGATTAAATACTTGTGCAGTGAAATCTCTGGTTCTAGACGATGAATTTTCCAGACTTACATTTTTTTAGGTGAATCTTATGGTCACTGACTTGGTGAGGAATCTCAGAGTTCATTTTCACTCCAGGCTTTCCATTTGTAGTCACCCTTTCCCCTTGGCTTCCTGCCTTTCAAAGAGATATCCAGCATCCTAGTGTTTACTTTCTCCAGCTGTTGTATGCTATGTGTTTGTTAAAAGAAGAATTAATTACTGTAATGTTCTTCCTTTTGTTTCAGAAGGCTGTATTGTAGCTCTTGTTCCCTCAAAAGGTTTCCTGTTTCCTAATCTATTGTCGGCAAATTTCTGTTTTTATATGAGTTGTGGTTTTTAACCTAATGATCGTAATAGTGTGTTTGCTAGATGGTTGTTAGATAATTGTTTGTTTGAACATATATTTGGCAAAGATGATGGTGTTCCCCGTGCTCCAAATCCAGGGCAATTTGAGCGGAGAAGAAAAGCAAGAACACGCTATAAGGTTTTAATAGAAATTTTGTCTGTATGAAGGGGTAACATTGGTCTCAGATTATTGCATTTCATAGAGTAATTAATGCATCTAATTAGTTTTTTCTTTCTTTCCTATAAAGAATGTATTCAAGCCTATTTCTTCAATTTTGTAAAATCTGCAGCCAAATGTAAAAAATAAATTAAAAAAAAAGGTGGTAAAAAAGACAAGTCTGCAGTTTTAAGCAGCTTAACGTATGGCTTGATTAACAGAAGTACTGAACTCTTAAGAGCTCTTACAGAGATCAGCGAAAGCTGCTGGGCACAGCCCTGAAATTTCACATAGGTGTTGAACATGGAATTGAGAGCAGGACTTGGGAGGGGTTAAAAAATTGCTTGTACCTATGTTTCTAACATTTTGCAAGTATTTTTTAGTTTAGATTTTGATTTTTGTGTGAGCTGAAATTACTGAAATGTGGAACGGCTGTTACAAAAGTTGGTCCAAAGCTCATTTCCTTACTATATTTTTGCCTTTTATTCTAGTATTACTTTCACTATAGTAATAAGCATATGATTACCTGAAACTCTAAAAAAACCCAAAAAAGCCTTCCCCATCACTTCTGCACTATTTTCTTCAACCTGTTGTGATATTGCTTAGATGATTTAAATTTTTTCTGCTCCTTCATTCACAAGTTTAATCAGGATTAAAGAGAGCCCCTTGTTTTCCCTCTGGGGAACTTGCAGATGAGAAACAGGTGCTGGAGGAAGTAAAGCTGGTGATGGAGCGCGAGCTTCTTTCTTCTCATGCAGTATCAACCAAGTGCTCTGTTACGTTATCGAAAAGCACTTTTTGGGCTGAGGTGCCATCCCTCAGGTGGGACTTAACGCTGCCTTTGATAGTTCCATGCATCCCCGAAGTGACTTGTTCTCCACAGGCTCAGCTGAGTTTTGTTCGGCTCTCCTGGAACTTAACTGAAACAGGGCCCAAAAGGTACCCTGTCCCCTTCCCGTCGTGACAGAGTGCTGCGCTAGACGCTGACAGTTGCCGTATTTCCAGTGGCGGTTGTTGGAGGAGGGCTGATGTAAACCCAGCATCCTGTGCAGATTGCGATGTGGATAATTACATTCTGCCTTCCTAAATTTCTCTTGGATTTGCAACTGGATCCTGTGCTAAACTGTGGTGTAGTGTTGCTATGTGCTGTTAAACAGTTCACTCCTTAAGCTGTTCCATTTCAGTCATGGGCAAAGTGATTCATGTGTGTGTATAATCCATTAGTAACAATTGTAAAGCACTCTGGGTTCTATCTGGATGAAAAGTGCTTTGTGAATATAAAGTCATTATCCTTACTTGACAGTTCTGTTTGCCAACACTTGTCAGAATTACCACAGATTTTTCATCTTCTGGCTCTGATGGTTTCAGTATGTTCCAGATAAACATATCCAATCATCTCAAGTAAAATCTGGGAGATTGAAATTTCTCTTCCGTAAAAAGAATATACTGTTTTTTTAATGTGGTTTGGGAGCTACATGGTCTGTCTGTCTCCTGCTTTCTTAAATTGTAGTGGCAGTCTTAACTTTTGATACATCAAAGCACTTGCCTTTTTTTTCCTTTACAGCCTTGTTGCAGTGCCTTTTTTTTTTTTTTTTTTGAACAATATATCTATTTCAGGCTAGTTTTGCTTTTCTGTGTCTGCTTTGGGTTCATCTGCAGCCAGTTGGCAAGCGACCGCTCCAAAGTGCCGCACATGGATTTCTGAAGGAGTTGCTGAGCAGTATGTGGTTTCTCTGTTTTCATCGGCGCAGTTCCTTGCAGCGTAGCCTTCCGGGCCCTGTGGTAGCCATTACCGAAGTGTCGGCAGTGTGTTAGCCTGCATTTGCTGGTGCTGAGACCCTTCACTGATACTGAAAGCCAGCAACTGTCTAGTGTAAAAAACCAGAAGCAAGCCTGTCTAATGGTCGTATATCCATGGCAGTTGGTTGTCTCTCAAACTTTGGATGGAAGCCTATCAGGAGGTTATGGTTAAATGCCTCGTGGAGAAGTGACCTAGATAAAACCAAAATTCGTGCGTGCTAATGTAAGTACAGTTCTCCTCTGTGCTGCCAAACACATTGGGCCTCACCCCATCAAGTACTTTTTTCTCCCAAAAACAATACTGCAATTTAATGTTACTGGCAAATTTGCTTCTAGATGTTAAGCTAAATTTTCAATCATCTTGAAAATACAGTTGGCTAAAATGTTCATCTTCAGAGAAATCGTATTTTAAATTTGTATGTTTTCCCTCTAGAGGCTTTATGTATGAGATAACAGGAAATAAAATTCCTTAGGTCTTTACTTGCTCCGTAGGGTGAACCATGCAGGGGATCAAGATGAACAAGGCTGACTATTTCTTGCTTCGATACCTTTCTTCTCTCCCCTATCCCATTAAACAAAAAAAGAGAGAGAGAGAAAGAAAATAAAAGGCAATGAAGCGAGTGACCAATAGTTCAGTGCTTTTAAGCAGAGAGCAATTTATGAACAGCTCTCTGGCAATGTTCAGTTTGGTTTTATTTCAGAAATCCCAAATGCAAACGTTGTCGCACTAACTGCAGAAGCCGCTGTAAGGAACTCCAGTAATGATGTAATGAGGATGCAGTGGGCACTTAAAGCAGGATCCTCATGGTCCAGCCCCTGTGTTTGACATGGAGCCTGGGTGTAGCAGCGCAGTGCTGCAGGAAAGGACACCCAGCTACCCTCCGAGGAGAAAGTTGTGTTGCTCCTACAGGCTGGATGGCAGCCGTGGAGGGAGTAGGTGACACAGAGTAGGAAGCAAGGGAAGTTGAAGGACAAGATTTTCGCCAGTAAGTCCAGACTGCAAATATAAGGTGGAATGGAAATAAAGCAAAGTTGTGCTTCTTGGACTGCTTGGGAAAATTCGGGAGGCCGTTGAAGGGTTTCTTACAGATGGTCATTAGCCTAAGAATCAAAAATAACTGTTTCTGTATTAGCTGTGTGCTTATTGGTTGGAAGTGAGGGGGGAGGATATTTTCCGTGTGTTTGTCAACCACAGGACAATAGCCTTTAGTTAACAAGGCTGCAGAAAAAGCAGATTTGGTCCTGGAAGGTATGAGATGGAATACTTGCACCGGAAAGAGAGGGATAAATGCCGTTGTACAAGTTGCTGGTTAGGTGATCAGGCCTATCTCACGGGGGCAGGCCGGAATATCCCGGTGTGTCTGCTTTGACAAATGAAGGGTAAGAGCAAGCCCGTTAGCTGCCTATGAGTGTATCAGGAAGAGAAACAGCAGGGAGGGATAAGAGCCAAGACAAGATCAGCAGAAGAATGAGGAGATGTAAACTGTTCATGAGTAAATGTTGCCTGGAAGTTGGAAGAAGGTTCCTAAGGACCAGAGGGACAACTGTCTTGGAATAGCTCCAAATGTAAGGGCTGGGAGAGGGAAAAGCCCTAAGTAGTTTAAAGAGGGAGCTTTCCACTTAAGAGAAGAAATCGTATCATGTGCTAATCTGAAATAGCCAGGGACTGGAATGGCTGAAAGCACCTTCCAGTCTTACTTGTCCTCATCTCTTCAGTGGGGCCTCCCAGGCCCACGTTGCTCTCATTTCCTACCGCTATCTCAGAGATATCTACAGCTTTCTCACCGGGTCGCTAACTGCTCTACAGCAGCCGCAGAAATGTTGTTGCCTCTTGCTACCGCTGGATTTTGTTTTCAGAGGGGATTCCACTGGCAGCTGTGACACTTGCAAGCAGAGAGATTTAAAAGTCCAGCCTGAGCTGCACGGCGTTGCACTGGGTCTAGCTAACCAGGGCAGCCCCCAGGAGAGTTGGCAGCAGCAAGACTAGTTCAGGCTGAAAATATCAGCAGAGCAGAAAAAGCTGAAGCGGGATGCGAGACGAGCGTGCCTCCTGCTTCTTTTTTAAGAAGATTCTGTTGCTATGCCAATCCTCTCTTCCCCAAGCTCATTTGATTAAAGCAAGTCCTAGAATGGAGGACTGAATTCAGCTGTTACACAAAGTAGCAATTATTCTTAACAATTGGGGAACTTACGGCCTGGATCTGAGCCACAGCGCCTTTCTCATGAAACTAGGAGGTCAATTTTTCCAAGACCCTTGACATTCAGTGTTGTGAGGCACAGAAGGATGTATTCTTTAAATAGGGTTTTTTGCATACTGTGGTATTTGGAAATATGTAAACATTCGCATTCCTTATTTATTCATCCTGACACTGAGAAACTAGTGTCTAGTTCCCAGGCTTCAAGCCAGCGGCGGCTTGTGTTCTTCACAAAGGTGCTGATCCAGTACCAACTCGCTGCTGCAAGGATAGAGACTGTTCCTGAGCCGCTGTCTCCCACGCTTTCTGATCAATGGTGTGCTCTCGACGCCATTATTACTTGCTTGTCGCCGTAGCAGAGACTACCGTTGTAGAACATCAGTTCATTAAGCAAAGATAAAAAAACCATAATAGCTATATTGGGCCAGACTTGAGCCTCCACCTCGCTCCGTATCCCATCTCCAACAGCGGCTGCGAGTGAACGCTAAGGTAGAGCGAGCGTGTATTTCCCTGTCCTCGTGCTGTTTTGAATCTGTTTTCAGCTGAGGGACTTCTTGAGCTGAGTATGTTTTCTGTGTGTTTAATAACTCTCAGTGGATTCCTTTTCCCTGAACTTTCCCAGTCTCCCTTGAGCTCATGCGAACTTTCAGCAGCTAAAGCATCCTTTGTCCAGCAGTTCACAGCTTACAGACTTACAGTGAGAAGAAATACCATCTGTTTGCAGATTTGGCTCCTGCTACTTCGTATGGTCCTCCCCCTGCCTCGGCTTTGTTCTGGAAGAAACAGTGAGCCATCTAACCCTACCTACCCTCTCCGCGTTTCTCATGGTTTTGTAGCCCTCCTACCGCATCCTCCTCCAGTCATCTCTTTTCCAGACAGAAGAGCCCGGTGTACTCAGTTGTTCCCCAGACAGAAGACATTCCATACTTGCTGCTCTTCTCTCAAACATTTTCAAGTCCACTAAAGCTTTTGTGCATGGGAAAAGAGAATACATTCTGTAGAAAAAAACACATTTAAAGAACCTGTTTCTAAATGGTAGCAGGTTCTTAACTGACCATGGTTGACCGTCTTAGCCTTCGCAACTGTGTTTTTCTTTGAAAGGGATTGGGTTGTTGCACATACCCTGCAACTGGAAGATTAATGGGATATCTAAGCTTCTTAGTCCAAAATGATTTGCAAATACTGGTAATAGCTTGCATGTGCTAGGTGTTCTTTGGTGGGCGAGGATGAGAAATCATTTGAGCTCATGTCTGTGCAACTCTGAGTTTCATGGAAGCATACGTTTGCTTAAACGTTAGATGTGTGTTTTGTTAGTGAGAACGTGTAGATTTCTGTGTGGCTGGATGGGATCAGGGTGCGGGGTCTGCATGGGAAACTTGAGAATTGTGAGGAAAGTGTACGGAGCCGCAGCCTGGGCCGAACAAGAAGCCCTCCAAATATATCTATTTTTTTCCTCAGAAATATGTTTTTTGCTGAAGGGTAGAGATGATTTGGCTAAGTCTTCTGCTTGTGCTAGTAACGTTCTTGTTTCACCTGTGCCAATGAGTAGTTTTGTAGCCCTCAGCAGTTCATTAATTTCTGTGTCTCGCTTATTCCTTCTATAATGTTGGGTTATTACCCGGCTGCCTTTCTTGCTTGGATGTTATGACTAGTTGATACTTAGATGATTCGTTGAAGTTGTAATTGTTATAAATGCCATTTTTTATCAACTGGCTTGTAACACGACAAGTCCCTATGCAGGTAGTATTACGTCTCCAGTGTTATTTTCAGTCTTTCCAAGATAACTGTTCTAGTTAATAAATATCAGAAATTCTTTTTGTTGCACATTCCTTGGATACCGAAGTGGCTAATTCAAGAGTGCAAACAAATGGTTATTTATTTTAAGCTTGGAAACAATGTTTGTACAAGTGCACGTGCATTTTCAACATTCTTCTTAATTTTTAAAACAGGACGGGTTTTGCTATTTATAATGGATACAGAATCTCTGTTTAATTTATTGGCAAAATTTACACTGACCTCACCGGATCAGGATCTGCTTTGTGAGTTTAGTTCTTAAGGGACAGAAACAAACTTAGAAAACCCTTTCCCACTTTGTGTCTCAGTTGCCTGTCTGTTAATGGGAAGGATGGAACAGCCTTCGCTCACGGCATGTGATAAAGCTAGGTCCATCCGTGTTTGAAATATGCAGTGACGGCTACCGACGGAAGACAGAGAGGGAGCTTGACTGGAGACCATCTGCCCGACGCCCGTGTCCTGGGGATTGCGGTAGCCCAGCGAGGCTGGCGCTGGCCTGGCCGAACTGCCGGCTCTCCTGCTGCCGCATCCTGGGACGCTGCTGGCAAACCTGTCGGGTTGAGTGAGGCCGGTGGGACAAGGATGCATCTCTTCCAGAGGTGTAGGCACCCGAGAAGGCCAAGGTGTTGTGGTCAATGCCTGGCCGAGCCGAGGGTACCCCTCTCTGCCGGTCCTGTTACTCCCTGGGGACAGGAACAGCGTCGGTATAAATGAAAGTTAGCACACAAAGCAATTTTTCCTATTTAGGAATGAAGCGAACTTGCTTGTTTAAACAGATTTTTATGCAGACACTCTACGTGTTTCTGTAGGATAGAGTGGAGTCTTTGATTTTTCTTAGAGTAGGCAATAAATCTTTTTGTATTTATACTTTATTTATACTTTTTCCATCTATGGATGTATTTGCTGCTATGCAAGTACAGTATTTACAGGATGTCACTCTTTACTTCTACTCTGTTTTTGCTTACCATCAGAGAAAAAAAACCTCCTTTGTCATATATAAAAGAAATAATATCCACCATAAAGAGACAAAGGATCATGGACTGTATTTAATGTCTGTCTTTCTCTGTAATATTTTAAGATAATGTCAATATAGCTGTGCTACACTACAGTATGTTACAGAAATTGCTTGGGGTAAAACTGGACTCTGCAGAAAGAAATTTTCTCTGCCTTCAGATATCTGAAGTTATTTTATATTTTGATTGGTAAGTGAGAAAAAACAGATTTTTGAACAGGAAATGGTTTGCAGTAGGCAAGTATAATTCACTTTCAGCAAAGCAGTCTTTTTTTTTTTTTTTTTTTTTTTTTTTTTTTTTCTTTTATTCTTTTTCCAAAAAGGTGTTTTTTTTTTTTTTTTTTTTTCTTTTTCCTTCCCTTCCAGGTGAAGCAGAAAGTAACCTAAGCACCAAGTACATGTGGTGGTGTATAAATTCCTTCAGAACAGTAATCCCTTGCACGCTGTGGTTCTTACTGGCCGTACCAGATGTAACTGATGTTTTGTGGCATAATCCACATTTTAATAGTTTGAGTAAAGGGAAACAACTCATAAGACTTGCTGGTAAAGCTCAGCATACCTCTCAGGTATCCTGAGTGCTGTTTTTCTTAGCTGATATTTTGGACACAGTTTCAAAACCTCGTTGAGGAGTTCCATAAATGGGACAGATACGTCAAGTTAGGTAAAAAAGCACTAAAATAATCCAATCCATGAAGGTAAATATTCTGTCCTCCCCACCTGTCTTGGCAAGTTTCTACAAAGAGAAACCTTGTAAAATTCTCAATACCACAAAAAAGTTGGAGGGCCCCTACTGTCTGTTGAAATTCTGGGTTTTTCTTTGTGACACAAGACTCGCTGGTCTGGTCCAGGATCCTTTAGCTGTTCTTTTCCAGACATTTGCACAATTGATTTCCTCATTCATGAAAAGGTTTATTTTATGGCTATAATCATAAGCTTAAATTTCAGTAGCATACGAATAGTTTGAAAGAGCCACATATAAAAGCTTTTTAATCATCAACTTTCAAATGACTTGATAACCGCATAACTTGATTGTTCCACTTATGTAGTTTGCCAGCAGTCTTGGAGATAGATTCATAGAAAATAAGTTCGGATGGTGTGACTCCAGGTAAGTAAGTGTTTTGTGGTAATTGTGTTGTATTTGTTAACAAAAACTAGGGTAGAGAACTTTGGTGTTTTAAAATAAATTGGATAAAGGTGGGTTCAGATGTTTATTTAGTCATTATTCTAGTGTTTGCTAACGGTGGAAATTATGTAGAAAAAACTGTTTGAAGTTAGAAGCATAGTTATTGTCGTCACTTAAACTGAAATTGCCGTATTATGCAAAACAACTCTTTATATTCATAAAGTCAATATTTCCAAATACAGTTTAAGGCTTTGTATTTTGCTGAAGTAAAACCTAGATTGTAAGTCTTTCCTCTCTCGGTGCGTTATCTTCTCTCATTTCAGCATGCATACACAACTACAGCCATAAATGGGACAAATTTTTGTACATCAGCAAAGGATGCTGTCTTTATTTTGGCGAAGAATTCTGCTAAACTTGCATCCATTAGCTGTTTTGGAGATTTTCTCCTGTTTCTAGGAAAGGTAAGAGTAAGAAAAGTACTGTTGTGTAAGAATGAAGTGAAAAATCAGGGTTTGATTCTTTTTTCATATACCTAAAGTAAATAAGGTTTATCTTTGTTAAACTCAGTGTTGTTAATGCTGTAAAATGAGTTCGGGAGAGGAGATAATGTTTGAGGAATTTAATCCTTTTCATAGTCTTTACAGTTATTTAGTTGTATTACAGTAGTGTCCTTGGCACTACTCTTACAGTTCTCATTGCAACGAGTCTTTGGTAAACACATAGTAAAAGATTGCCCCTGCCCTACAGAATTTACACACTGAATTGAAGGCAAAGTGTGACAGCTACGTGATGCCAGAAGCTGCATCGCTATCTCCCAGATGAGATGTGCTGTTAAAATATTGGCTGTAATGTATTTGCCTTAGGGTTTGGGGGGTTTGGGTTTTTTTAAGAAACATTTCTCCGTGATTAATGAGGCTGCATTTCTCTCTCGCTGCCCTTTACAGGTGTTTGTTATATGTTTTACTGTTTTTGGAGGATTGATGGCATTTAACTACCATCGGGAACTGCAAGCTTGGGTAGTTCCTCTGTTGCTGGTTGGATTTTTTGCCTACCTGATGTCCCACAGCTTTCTGTCGGTGTTTGAAGTGGCAGCAGACGCCACGTTCCTTTGCTTTGCTATCGATATGGAAACAAATGATGGATCTGCAGAGAAGCCATACTTCGTGGATCAGGAACTGCTGGTAAACCTCAGCGATAACAGCAAAGATATCTGAGCCATTCTAAGCTTTTGGGGGCTTTTTCTTTCCCCAAGACCTCGTCCTTTGAACCCACAACCCCTGCTATTTCCTTTCCAACACCTTAGAACAGAATGGGCTCGGGGATACAAATCATACATGAATTTATAAACTGAAGTAAATGGCTCACTCGGGCTCCTGTGTGCTAGCTGTGACCTGCTGCCAGGGTCATACCCTGTAAGTAGTGGCTGACTTTTGAGGCCTTATTAGAGATGCTCAATACATTGTTGGTAATTAAAAAATAAAAATAAATACATGAGCCAGCTGCGGAGACCAAGCCGTGCCCTAAGATTAGATGTTTATATTTGTTGTGACTTACTGTATGGCGATGATAAAAAGTAAACAACACAGAGCTTCTTGTTGCCAGCAGCAGGTCAGGTATCCATCCACAGCCTATGGATGCTCTAGTTCTGAACAAACTTCATGCAAACTCGAGTTGCTCTGCTTCATACCTGTACGGATTCCTTTGCCAGAATACTGTCTTCTATCTCTTGATTAGATTCTTCTGCCTTGGGACTGATTGTTCTGTGTCTTTATCCTCATAATTACTCTATTGTGTTACAAGCATTTCCATGGAGAATCGTTGCGTAGCTAATAATTAGTTAATAGCTGTATCTGAAGCATTTGAATGTGTATATGCCACCCCTTTCATATTAAGAGAATATATGAAGATGCAGATGTTTTTTTCCTTTCATGCTCGTTTTGCCAGTTCTGTCTTTTCCTTCATAAACCATGCAACAAAGAAAATCTTAGTGATTCATGAAAAACAAACTCAGCAGTCAGAATAGCTCATACGATACAAATCTTCTGGATGGATTTCTTCAGGACAGTGTCAGAAGAACTGGTTGGGTTTTTTTTTAATGCTGCTGTTAGATTCCCTGTAGTGTTCACAGAATTCCGTTGAAAACATAAACCCAACAAAAAGGCAGCCTAAAGCTAGGCTTAACCCTTTGTACGGAAGAAAGCAGATAGATATTCTTTGGCCTTAATTCAGAACACTACTTAAGCACATGTCCCGAATAGGAATATGTTACTGAATGGAAAACTCTGAAGCCTTGACCTCTGTTCTTCTCCCTCTCTTTTGCCAAATGCTAAAATACTTCTTAAGCCAATTCTCCATCATGAAACAGAGGCTTTCCTTTCTCCATTTCCAAACTTTGTGGTAGTTTCTCTTTAACTCTGGTCTTAATTCCTTGTAATTAGCCATGCCCTAGGACTTCCCACGGGGGTAAGGAGTCTTCCAAGCAGGGCAGGCTGTATAACCTTGTATGGAAAAACTAGGGGCAGCGCATCCAAACTCCTCCTCAGTGCATGATCAAGAAGAGTAAGTTCACTCATGTAGCCGAGAACTTGGAGTTTCCCAACACATGAAGACATTTGACTTGGGACGTCCATGCTGCAGTCGGGTTACAAACATCTGGGGGTGGAGGGGAGGCTCTGCGGCCCTCGGGACAGTATGCAGCAGTGGGCGGAGAGCCGGGTGAGGGATGTCAGCCAGCCAGAGCCCTCATTCCTGTAGCAGGAGATGCAACAGAGATTCTTGATTCATCCTTCTCAGTTGCATTCATCACCCTTGCTGCCTCTGCAGAGTCCCTCCCGGTATCACTCAGTGGCATCCAGCTAGGAACCAGCTACAGTTTCTTAGCCCCGGGCTAATTATCTTCTTTTACCAGGTATGTTTATTTACATAATGGTTTGCATTCCCAAATGATCTCACCCTGGTTTTTTGCTTGTAGACCTTTGTGAGTCAGAGTAACAAGTTAACAGAAGGACGAAACCACAGAAGCCCAAGACCTTTCCAGGACAATGAGGATGGGACAGAGCTCCAACCTATGGTGAGAGAGGAGCATGGGATATGTATTTATCCACCGGCTAAATGCATTTGCCTTTATGTCCCAAGAAGAATGGATGTAGGCTGTCATGCATCTCCTGATGTCTCACAGCAACCAACAGGCTGTACCCATTATCTGTTTTTCCTTCTATTGTTTTCCCTCCTCAGGAGACCCTCCACTGGTGCAAAAATGGGCGGATCAAGTATTTGTTATCCTTCTTCCCCTTGCCCAGCGTGCCCGGCAGAGGAAGGGGAAGCTCGGACAATGGCAAGGGGGTGGGAGACAAATCCTATTCAGATAATCCTTTGCATGTCTGCTGTAGGGAAGTCAGAAGAATGGTAGGCTGCTTGGTTTCATACTGCAACTGCTGAAGTTTTGGTCAAGCACTGGAACAGGCTGCCCAGAGAGGTGGGGGAGTCACCATCCCTGGAGGGGTTCAAAAAACAGGCAGATGTGGCACTTGGGGACATGGTTTAGGGGGCATGGTGGTGTTGGGTTGATGGTTGGACTCGTGATCTTAGAGATCCTTTCCAACCTTAGTGATTCCTAGTTTTTACTTTCATCAAAAAAGAATCCAGCCACCAAGCCAGGAAACATGAAATGCTTATTCCACCCTTAACTGGTTTAGTGATGGACTTGGTAGTGTTAGGTTAATGGTTGGACTGGATGATCTTAAAGGGCTTTTCCAACCTGAACGATTCTATAATTCTATGAAGTTCCAGAGCTGTAAGGTCAGAGTCCTTCCCTCTCCACCCCCACTCTTTTTCTCTCTTTCTTTTCTATTGCTGTATGCATTTATTACGCTGGTTTATGCTGGGGTAAAAAAGCTGAGGTGCCAGAAGGGAGTGTTCCCCCACACCCAGGCTTGGGAAAGTCCTGAGAGTAAACGCTCGGTACCTGACATCTGAAAAAACATTGCAAATTGCCCAACCTGAGAAGCTGCCCCAGCAAGTTCAGAATCTGGGCTGATTTTCCCCCAGCATCAGGGGAGCCAAGCCTGGGCTGCCGGAGAAAGATTCTGCAGCAACAGCTACTCTGGCACCTACTCCTGCTGGACACTACTACTGGTGTCTTGTGTCCTCCTAGCTACTTCCTACACGAGTGGAGGAGGCGGTGGTGGTTTTTCTTGATCTGCTTTCAGGAGGTACCAGACTTCAGCGAACTCTCATGCAATCTCGTGGGCATTCTGCTAGAGGCAGTTGGGCTACAGAGCGCTGCTTCAGTTTATCGCTACAGTGAGGGATAGTTGTACTCGATTTTTTTATTATTTGGGTCTGTTATTGAATTCTTCAGTAAATGTTTTGCTGAGCACAGATATGGGGTGGGGAGGGGAGAGATATATGTGTGTGTGTCCATTCCCTGGGAGAGGATTGTGGATTTGAGACACAAAAGAACCTTAATTATTTTCCCAGTTTACTCTTACGACATTTAAATGCAGTAACAGGACTAGTGCTACACATTATTTGACTCCTCTTTTTTTTTTTATTCTCTCTTTTTAGACTTGAATGCGAAGTGCACCAGGAAGTATGAAGGCAGACCAGCAACAGCAAAAACAGTCATAGGAAAAAAAAAAATAAAGGTTGCCAAAACCCCAGGACAAAGGATTAGTTCTGTAAACCTCTGTTGTACCTTCTGCCCTGGTAAAACGACACACAGTCTGTTTGTATGAATAATGTATTTTCTGTGTCAGCACATCTGATTTTTATTAATATACCTGTTACGGTATGAAAGTTGTTAATAAACTCCTTGTAAATTTTTATGTTGTCAGACTAAAAATACGAAGCTGACAAGGTCATTGAGCTGTCCTTTTTAGCTTTTTGTTGTGTCAGCTAACACGGGGGTTTTTTTGTGCTTCCCTGGGAACGCTGGACCAGTCATCCCTGGGTCAGTAAAGGCAGAAACACTTGCAGAAGAGGCACTCTGATTTATTAGTTATTTTTACTCCTGATTTATTCTGTAAATCTCAACAGCCAGTGCAACCAATTCAGGAACTGTACTGAGCTCATTGATGGAAATCACCATTGACAGGAATTCTCTGTAGTCAAGATAATGGTTATGAGGTAGGTGTCTGTCTTTTAATTATACTCTTTTAGGAATGGTTTTTACAAGTTAGTATCAAAAACTGTCCACTGGCTCCTCTCCAAAGGGCAGATGAGAAATAGTCCTTTTTTTTGTAAATACAAATAAACAACTACCTTCCCTTTGCAATTGAAAAGACAAAGGAAGCGGAAAAATTTGTATCTGGCTTTAAAGCTTGACAGAAGTAGCAGATGAGCAGTGGCTAAACAGACATGAGATAAAAGGATGTGGTAAATAGTATTTTATAGGTGTGTTAGCTGTAACGTGGATGTGAAATGTGATCGTGGAGGAAGGTAGCCAAGAGACCGTCAGGGCTCTAGTCAGAAGAGGGACATGGTAAGTGTAAGTACTCTTAAAAAAGATAACTTAAATGGTTAAATGGTGTTAAGTCCAGTTGGCGGCCAGTCACGAGCGGT